GCTCGCATTCGAGCCCCAACCCCGGGCCTGGCTCCAGGGTGGGGCCCCGGCTGCGCCATGCCGGGCGACGTCACGGTCCTTGATTTTAATCTATTCATAAAGGGCTTTTGAACCGCTCTTAGTCTGACCCGTCACCCAGGACCTGTTTGCCTTGGGAGACCCTACCAGGGACATATAGCCCCCGACAACATAGCTCCTAGGATCACTCGGGTACTCAAACCCCTCCAGCACAATAAGGTGGCGATTCAAGGAGTTCCAACAGTGCATTCAATTCATTATTAGACTCAATTGGCTTCTCTCAAACTGTAAAGAAACCCACTGTTTTAATCACTCCCTTGATCTTGTTCTGACATATGGCATTGAAACTGAACACTTAAGTTTTTCCCCAAAACCCTCTTCTGACTGACCAATTTCTAATAACTTTAGAATTTACATTAATAGATTATACACTATGTGGGGGAAAAAATCCATTACAGTAGATACCAAATTTAGGAAAATAATTCCATCATTATTTACTTCAGTGCCATTTGCCAACACAATGAGAGGCCACCTTAACTTTACTACCACACAAGTCAAAAATCTTGTTGATGGTACTGCACCCTGCCTGCATATGACACGTGATACTGTTGCCCCTCTGAAAAAGAAGCCAGTGAAACAGAGGCGGCTAGCCCTGAGGTACAACTCGCAGCTCCACTCCCTAAAGCAGGCATCACAAAAACTGGAAAAGAGGTGGTGCTCCACTAAGTCAGAGGAGTTTTTTCTAGCCTGGAAAGAGTTTAATAACATTTAAAAAAGCCCTTCATAGTGCCAGAACTGCATATTATTCATATTATTCTTTACAGCACCGTAGCCAGGCTGACAAAGAGCCACAGTGCTGTTGAGCTTAATATTCACTTAGATCTCTGTAGTGATGACTTCATAAGCTTCTTTACAAATAAAATCACAACTATCAGAGAAAAAATTAATCAAATCCTTCCCATAACTCTCACAGATGTCTGATTAGATACAGCCTTAGAAACATCTGTAAGAACTCATTTACATTTAGACCACTGCTCTGCAATAGATCTCACTGAGCTGATCTCAACAATTGCTTGTTTAAATCATCGTCTCTTAGACCCCAGCCTGACTAGCTTACTCAAAGGCATTTTATCCCTAATCAACACATCCATATTAGACCCAATTAACCTCTCTCTATTAACAGGCTATGTTCCACAGGCTTTTAAGGTTGCTGTAATTAAACCCCTACTCAAAAAGCCTATTTTTGTAGGTGTTCTAGTTAATTATAAACGAATATCCAATCTCCCCTTTATTTCTAAAATCCTTAAAAAAGCTATTGCAAAGCAGCTATGTGATGACTCACACAAGGATGTTTTTTTTTTAGTTTTTTTTAGTCAGGTTTTAGAGTCCACCATAGTACAGAAACTGAATTGGTGAAAGTCACCAACGATCTTATTTATCAGAAAGATTCCAATTTGTTCATGTTAATGATGAATCTTCTGCGCAGAATGAAGTTAGTCATGGTGTTCCACAGGGCTCTGTGTTAGGTCCAATTCTCTTCATTTTATACATGCTCCTTTTAGGCAATATTATCAGGAAACAAATGTCCATTGCTATGCAGATGATACTCAGTTATATTTATCTATGAAGCCAGATGAATCAGATCAGTTGGCTGAACCTCAAGCATGTCTTAAAGACATAAAGGCCTGAATGAGGTGTAATTTCTTACTTCTAAACTCCAACAAAACCAAAGTTATTTTACTTGAGCCTGAAAATTATGCTATCTAACATAGCTCTGGCCTCCAGTACTGGTGACCAAGATATATCCTTTAAATCACACATAAACCAAATCTTTTTTCACCTGCGCAGTATCACAACTATCAAGAACATCCTGTCTCAAAGTGATGCTGAAAAAATGGTTCATGCATTTGTTACTTCCAGGCTGGACTACTGTACTTCTTTACTATCAGGATGTCCCAATAATTACCTTAAAAGCCTCCAGTTAATCCAAAATGCTGCAGCTAGAGTACTGACAGAGGAACTAGCAAGAGAGATTATATTTCTCCCATATTAGCTTCTCTCCACTGGCTCCCTGTAAAATCCAGAATAGAATTTAAAATCCTTCTCCTAACATACAAAGCCTTTAATGACAAGGCTCCATCACATCTTAAAAACTTAATAATGCCATATCATCCCAACAGAGCACTTTGCTCTCAGAGTACAGGTCTATTTGTGGTTCCTAGAGTCTACAGAAGTAAAATGGGAGGCAGAGCCTTTAGCTATCAAGCTCCTCTCCTGTGGAACCAGCTCCCAGTCTCAGTTTGGGAGGCAAACACCCTCTCTACCTTTAAGATTAGACTTAAGACTCCTTCTCTGTCATCCTCTCTCCCCATGCATCTACATGCCACCATTACATGTCATTAACTGTGTGTTTCCTCTCTCCCATAGTGTGTCCTCTCTCTCTCCCTGTACCTTTCTGCAGGTAGCTCTGGCGCCGTTTCCCCCTGTTGTTAAATGCTTGCTCAAAGGGAATTTGTTGGGGTTTTCCCTCTATAATAATAATAATAAAAATAATAATACGGCCTAGACCTTTGTAAAGTGTCCTGAGATGCCTTTTGTTGTGATAAATAACAATGAATTGAATTTAAAGTAAAAAAAAAAAAAAAAAAAAAAAAAAAAAAAAAAAAAAAAAAAAAAAAAAAAAAAAAAAAGGGATATTTTGAATTTTGGGAAAGGTGGCTGTTTCTCCCCCACTGCATGGGTTTGTTTAGTTTCAAGGAAATATACCCCTAATAGTTTTTATAGAAGCAAGATTTAAAACCAAATTAATTCTCTTTTCAGAAATTTAGTAAATAAAGAAATTGAATATTTTAGAAACCCTCTTTTTAAACAGCCATTCAGCATGCAGAGATTTTAACACAAAACTTACTGCATCATCCTGCAAGCCGTGAAAATAGATTTCTCCATCAGATAATGTAAAATACAGTCCACAAAATCTGGTGGTCATTGCTCACATCTCTCCCCCAGCCTCCCTAGCATTACAAGCGGCATCCATGTACACTGCTGGTCGGTCTGCCAACTGACAACAGTCCCCAGCTGTTTATCTGGTGAATCACGACCCATGGGTAGAAAAAAAAAATTCTTAGGTTAATGAAGAACAAGTCCATAAGATATTCCACAAATATCTAACAGGTAGCAGGTTTGGACAACTGAGGTGTTTCCCAGATCGCAGTTTGTTCCTTTGTTGCGGCAGTGAGCTTACTAGGAGCTATAATGTAAAGAGCATGGCAAAGAATACTGTAGAAGTACTCGTGAGGGGGCTCCTGACGTTTTTGTTTGATGTTTAAAGCAGCAAGTACTCCTGAGTTATGTGATCAGAGAGAACTCCTGTTCCAGCACCTGGTGGAGCAGCGCAAAATTACTGTACATCGCAGGGTTACATTCAATGACGTGAGTAACGTCGTGGCTAATTGTTAGCCTGATCAATTAGACACCGTCATCGGTGGTAGCCTTTGGAAATTGTTGCAAGTAGAACTCAATGTCTTTCAAGAATGAATGTCTCGAGACCCAACTGGACCTACCTCAAAAGGTTTAATGTGTCACAGTTTTAAGTAGATCAATAACAAAACACTGAAGAAGAGTATTTAGCCTTTTGTCAAAGCAATTGTTATAGAAAACACTGAAAAAGGATATGAAGAGAGAAGAGAGGTGCATCTGAATGGTCTGGGCAACTTATTATTGATATCCATTGTAGCGACTGCAGCTCTTGCTGACCACAGTCTGTGTTCTTCCAAGGCTTTAACACTTTAATTGGGGTAGAGGAGCAAAGGAACATAAATTCCCAGGTAAATGTTTCCTGAGAATGCAGTTACTTACCTATACCATGTACTTTATATGGGTAACCAGGTTTCTAATCAGTCTTTTACCAGTGAGAGAGAGTAACACCGTGCAAGCTCAGTAAAAGGAGAAATCATAACACAGAGACACATTCCCCATAACTTACAGATAAGACAACATCATAGTCTGCTCCAGTGAAAGGTTCATCTGTCAGGTCTTCAAAGTAGTTCGCCAGAGCATCCAGTGTCTCATTTGCCAGCTTCTCATACGCTGCTTCCGACAGCTCACTTTTAGACAGTGACACAAAGTTATATATTAGTTTAACCATTTTAATGATACTTGGAAAAGAAAAGGACTGTGGGTTACCTTATCTGCACAGGGGTGAAATTCTCCAGTTTTGCTGTCAGATGAATGTTTTTCCTCCACCTGTCACCATCACCTCTGCTCTCAAACCACTGACACAGAAAACATGAGGTCACATACTAAACAAAGTACAACAGAGACTGATGAGTTAGTCATGGTAAAAACAAAGAACACCCTCCTTCAGTTCTATGTTTTTATTCACAGGAGTTAAAAAATAATTGTGTGGAACTCACCAACTTCTATAAGCAAATAAATAAAAGAATAACCTCAGGTGACGAAAAAACCCCACAGACATCAACATGTGGTTACTGTTTCCTAAAAGTAAAGTAAGTCCACCCTTCCCTACTTCCACAATCACTGAGAGAGTATTCAGCAGCCAGGTCTTCCTAATCAAATTCACAGGAATAGTCAATCATTAAGAAGGGTGGATGGTGTCATGGGGCCGACCCAGGCTGCCTCAGACGTTATTAAACTCATGAACAACTAGTCCAAGTTGCTCTTGACTTGTATATATTTTTTGTATTTATTTATTCTGTTATTTATTTTGTTTTTATGTTGTGCACATTGTGTCAAATTCCTTGTATTTTTTTAATACTTGGCAATAAAGTTTATGCTTATGATTGTCTCAATAAAAGCAGACATTTTGGCAGTTCGGTGGAGCACTGAGGTGTGTGTCATGTCAAAAAAAAAGATATAAGCCGTAATCTCAGAGAAACTACTGTTGCTGCTCATCAATTTGGAAAGCGTTATAAGGGAATTTCCAAACAATTTGAGATTGATCATTGTTTAGTGAGAAAGACTGCTTACAATTTGGGCGCTTCAAGACAGCTGCCAATCTTCCGAGAAGTGAGTGTCCCAGCAAATTCAGTCCAAGGTCAGACTATTTAATGGTCTGAGATATAAAGACAATCCCAAGAGCTACATCACGTGACACTATAGGCCTCTGTAAGCACATTAAATGTTTATGTTCATGACAAGCACAATTATAAAAACAGTGAACAAGTATGGCTTTCACAAAAAGGTGTCTAGGAAAGAGTCCCTTCTCTCCAAAAAGAGTATAGCAGTGCAACTTAGGTTTACAAAATTTCTTCTGAACAAACCGCAGCATTTCTGGAATGCAATAACAACTATCTTTTAGTCCTGGACCTTTAAATATGATTTAAATGAAAAACAAAATAAGTATTTCATCTACCTACATATTTGGTAACTCAGAGGAAATTACTTATTGCTCTGTATGCATTTTATAAATAAAACCTTGCTACTTTAGGTTAACAATATTGCCTGTCAAAAAAAATCTGCTGGCTTACCACAACAGCTACATCCAGCCGTCTCTCTTGCTTAACAGGCTACATGCAATCATCTTTCATTTTAACTTGTTCATAACAATTAGCTATTAGCTTAACAAGCTCAATATGGTTAAACCAGTGGTTGATGACAAACTGCAGGCAAAGCTGAAATGCTCATTTCTGTGCAAGTTTATGCTCATTTAACAGGTGTCTTGATAAACTGGTCTGATGTTTTACTCATAGAAGTATTATTGTGCACACAGTAATGATCTTAGGTGTGGTCAACTTGAGTAGTGTTTCACTTCTGATGTGAGCAAGTGATGCATGCAATGTAGAGCTCTTAAGGGGTGTGCTGAATTTATAATGCAAAAACGAGAGAATCACTGCAAAATGGAGTGCAGCACAATAATGGTTTTATCTCACTTATTTTGTTTTCATAATTGTTGAAAGCCAAAATAGCAGTAGAAAAAAAATCAATTAATCACCCAACCCCACACAGCTTATCACCATAAACATCTCATACCAAGTGTCAAGCATGGTGGTGAAGTAATGATGGGCTTGTTTTGGAGCCAGAGGCCATCTGTTCAGCAGCTTAGACTGGGTCACACAACAGGTCCATGTTGGACCAAGAGCAGTGCGGAGTGCCTTGACACATGGGAACAGAGAGCAGCTTAGACATCGAAGTGGAGAGAAGAGGGGCAGGTGAAAAATATTACTCAAGGTGACAACACCTATGTTCTACTGTATGTGCAATAAAGCCTCCATGAATAAAAAAACATTGAAAGCAATGTGTCAAAACATACTCTAAACATGCAGAGTGGCAATCATTTCAGCGTTGCCCACAGACTCGCATCTACATGTTAAATATCAAGCTCCTTACGCTAATAGCTAATAATTCAGATGCCAGGTTGATAATGGCTAGCAGTGGTTCATGCATATGGCTCTGAAATTGATAATAGATCCATGGTAATGTGGCATCTCAGTATATCTCCATGGTTAAATATAGTCTGAATTATAATTTCATATTCTACTTGCTAACCTATTATAGTAATATCAGAGTTAAATACAGAAATATAGATGAATACAATGCAAACTGAACAGCAGTAAAGAGCAGATACATTAAATATTGAGGTTTTGTTGATAGTGTGCACTCAGTTTTTTGGTCATTAATGAGACTGGAGTTACTTTGTAGTTGTGGACTGTCAAAGAAAATTGAGAAAAATAAGAACAACCCCAGGTTTCTTTTCAGCACTGTAGCCAGGCTGACAAAGAGCCACAGTGCTGTTGAGCTTAACATTCCCTTAGATCTCAGTAGTAATAGACTTCATAAGCTTCTTTACAAAAAACAAACAAAAACAAGCACAGCTATTAGAGAAAAAAAAATCAGATCCTTTCCACAAGTCTTACTAATGTATCATTAGGTACAACAGCTTTAGAAACATCTCTAAGACTTAATTTATATTTAGAATACTTCTCTCCCATAAATCGCTCTGAGCTGACCTGAAAAATTGCTTCATCTAAATCATCAACATGTCTCCTGGACCCCATCCCAACCAGGCTGCTCAAAGACGTTGTTCCCCTAATCAACACATCCATATTAGATCTGATTAACCTTTCTCTATTAACAGGTTATGTTCCATAGGCTTTTAAAGTTGCAGTAATTAAACCTCTACTCAAAAAACCTACTCTGACCCAGGTGTTCTAGGCAATTATAGACCAATATCCAATCTCCTGTTTATTTCTAAAATTCTGGAAAAAGCTGTTGCAAAGCAGTTATGTGACCATTTGGACAAGAATGATTTGTTTGAGGATTTTCAGTCAGGATTTAGAGTCCATCATAGGACAGAAACTGCATTGGTGAAAGTCACCAACGATCTCCTCCTAGCCTCAGATAAAGGACTTCTCTCCATACTTGTCCTCTTAGATCTCAGTGCTGCTTTTGACACCATTGATCACAACATTAAATTATGGAGACTGGAACATGTTATTGGGATTAAAGGAACTGCACTAAGGTGGTTCCAATCTTATCAGAAAGATTCCACTTTGTTCATGTTGGTACTCAATCTTCCACGTACACTGAAGTTTGTCATGGTGATGCTCTTGCTTATACCACAGGTATTTGCCAAATAAGCAAGTCAATTTTTATTAGTAAAGCCTGATATCATAAATCACAAATGTTCATCAGGGGTCTTAACAAACTGAACAATACCCTCTGCCGTTAGAACAACTTGAATAAAGAAAAACTCCTCCAAAAATCCCTTTAATGAAAAAAATGGAAGAAACCTCAGGAAGATCAACAGAGGAGGGATCCTTCTTCCAGGATGGACAGATGTGCAATGGAACAATCTGGCTTACTTCTATTGATCTCTTATATAGACTGCTGTAAAGATCAATTCCTCAACCGTCCCCACGATTAACACTTGGACTGTGTACATTTACAGTAATAGCAGTTTAACTTTTGATCTTATGCTATAAAAGAAACTGTACAGACACACAGTCCTGTGGTGGGTCCAGAGTGAACTCGTATCAGAAATTACCTGCTTTAAAAGGAGTCCAAGAGCCTTCATTTTAAGCAGCCTTGACCCACGGTTTGTTGACAGCTTCCACACCAAACTAAACAAACCAGGCAGGAAAACACCACAGTTCTGCACAAAAGAGTTCTGGAGTGAGATCACCCTCACAGGAGCACCAAACTAATGTTTCTGTGCAATACACAAAACTATGTGTTAGTTTAATTCTGAAAATGTTAAAACTGATAATATGCTCCTTTTGGTAAGAGCTGGATGAGGAAATTGATATTAATTTCATCTTTGTGAGTCGAGTACAGAGGTAGATACAGAAAACAGAGTTTATGATGTGTGTTGCACAACAAAACTGCCATAATTACACAATGTACACTATGTAGCAAAAACTGAGCTTGTTGATTAATACAGCAGCTTCTTTGGCTATCTTGTGACTCTTAGCCATAAGTCAACCATTTCATCCACAGAGGTTGAAAGGCTGATATTGGTTTCTAGTTATTATTATTTTTTTTTTCTGATTTGAATGTCCTGAACAACCTCTACAAAATACAATTGCAAGGAATTTAGGTACAGTATTTCATCATCTACAGTTCATAATATCATCAAAAGATTCAGAGAATCTGGAGAAATCTCTGCACGTAAGCGGAAAGGCCATAAACCAACAGTGAATGCTCGTGACCTTCGATTCCTCAGGTAACACTGCATTAAAAACAGACATCATTCTGTAAAGGATATTACTACATGCACACATGCAAAAAGATAAGAAATCAGTAAGGGGGCAAACACTTTTTCACACCACTGTACATCAAGCAAGAATGGGAAAGAATTCCACCTACAAAGCTTCAACAATTAGTGTCCTCAGTTCCCAAATGCTTATAAAGTTTCGTTAAAAGGAAAGGTGATGTAACACAGTGGTAAAAATACCCCTGTCCCAGCTCTTGTGTTGCAGGAATCAAATTCAAAATCAGTGAATATTTGCAAAAACAAAGTTTATCAGTTTGAACATTAAATATCTGTGTCTTTGTGGTGTATTCAATTAAATATGGGTCAAAATGGATTTGCAAGTCATTGTATTCTGTTTTTATTTACGTTTTACACAATGTCCTAGCTTCATTGGAATTAGGGTTTGTAGAACAGGAGGCAGAGCCTTTAGCTATCAAGCTCCTCTCCTGTTAAACCAACTCCCAGTCTCAGTTCAGGAGGTAGACAATTTCTACCCTTAAGATTAGGCTTAAAACTTTCTTTTTAGATAAGGCTTATAGTTAGGTTGATATAATATTGTTATTCTGTCATTGGTGTTGGTGATAACTGACTCACTGTGGTTGTTAGTGGTGTATTCTTCTTTTGTTTGACAGTACTGTTAGAATGTCAGTGGTTAGACAGTTGAGTGGACCCGGCTCTCTGAGGTGACTGCCACTACAAGCGAATTGGACCAGCCACTGGTTAACCTGAGCAGATACAATGTAGATGCAGTGCGTCAAGCCATATACCTGCTCTTTCCTTGGGTGAGGATAGGATTAAGGGATGCTTTGTTTTGTTTTTTTTGTCACATGTAATTGTATATCATTGACTGATAATATGGAATCTTATTGGATTACTGTATATGCAAATAGTTTGTGTGTATAGTGTACACATAAGGTTGAAGTCAGAAGTTTACATACACCCTAGCCAAATACATTTAAACTCAGTTTTTCACTACTCCTGATATTTAATCCTATAAAACATTCCGTCTTAGGTCACTTAGGATCACAAATTTATTTTAAGAATATGAAATGTCAGAACAATAGCAAGGACCGCCGGTTGGATTTTCCGACCTTGGAGCTACTTGATGTTTATGCTACTCAATAGGTTTACAAAAAAAAAAAAAACACACACACGCTGCATGCCTGTTAATGCGTTGTTTCTGTAACGGTAGAGAGAACTGTTGCAAGGCTGGACAAGTTACTATGTTTGCACTAAAATATGGGGTTTCTCAATTACCCACTTTATTTAGTGTTACACATCTGTATTGTTTACCTATCGATGGAAGAGAAACTCAAATTAATTATTGCCGCTACAATTCGTTGTACTGTCCACGGTGACACAACAACGGCGGCAGGAGGTGTGCACGTTCATGAAATATCCTCTAGATTTAAGGAAGAAGCTCTCTGGTTTTATTGCTCTGAAATTATTACAGACTATTTGGAGTTATGATAGGTGCAAAGATAATCTAGAGATAACCCAGATTAAACATTAAATGGCTAGAAATGTGCAAAATGAGCATGCCATGGCCATTTTAATGGTCAAAATTAGCGGGACAAGTTAGTTAATGCAGCTTTAACTGTGATTGTAAACCCTGTCATTTTGGCCAAGTCTTCCTTGTCAAAAGAGGTCTGAAATCTCAATGGGAGTTCCTGGTTAAATAAAGATGAATAAATATATGGGTTTCATTGTCACCTTAGGTTTTTCTTTCTCTTTGCTTTGGTTTGTTTAAAGAAGTCCATGAGGTCCACACAGTTGCTTTTTCAGCCCCTGATGAATAAAAACAGAATTGAAGGAGGCTGCACTTTCTTTTTACTATGACTGTGTGTTCATATATCTCAGATAAATAGAATTTGGACTGTCAGCTATGATGTATACGTTTATTTACTAAGATTCTTCATCCTAAAAACCAATATAACACACTAAACTGGTGTAAACCCATTTCAGTTCCGGTTATTATTAATGCAATGTTACTGTTAACTCTGGATATAGCAGAACTCAGGAGAAACCCCTGACAAGTTATATATATATTAAAAAAAAATTGGTGGGTAATCTCAAGGTAGGACTTACTTTGTTTGGAGGTTGACAGATGGGATGCAACATGACTTCAGTAAACGGATGAATCCCTAGAAGGTGAGACATGTTCCTGAGCTGGAACATCAAATAACGTTAGCTCAATCGTTAATATAACTCGTTGTCAGTGAGCTATGCTAAATGCAATGCTAACTGTGATGGAAAACTAGCCCTTGTTGGTTATTAAGTGACAATCTTTATTAACGTTAGTACGCTTGATACATCAAGTCTGTACCAGCATAGACTCGTACAGACTACCTGTTTAGAGATGTTCTTGATTCTCTGCGCTGTCACCATGTTGAGCGGTGCGTTCACGAAGTGAGGAATATGTGAAGTTTTAGTAAAGATAGATAACATGACGGACTAAATGCCAACAGCTCTTTTAGCTCTCTCAATAATTCGACTGCGTCCCATTTGCGTAGCAGTGCCTCTCGTGTGTCTTAAAAATACCTCCCCTTCCGCCACTTCCTCTTCTTCGCGTTTATCCGCTTGTTAAGTGATGACGTAACATCCCGTTTCCGGGTCCAAACTTCCATGTGCCACAGTGTTGTATTGTCCATTGCTTCAATAGATATAAATCAAAAATCACAGGTCAGCCATCATTTAACCTCTTTCCTTGAAATAGGAAGGAGAAAAAGAATTGGCTACAGCTGATTAGCTAAGTCACTATATCAATAAAAATAAACATTCTAAAAGTGCAGTTTTGCTGCCTTGCAATGTACCTAGGTGGTTAGCAAGAAGTTAGTGTAAAAACTATGACACATTTTACGCTGATGAAAATAACAGTAAAAGCTGGAAACTATTAAAAATGTGTTAGACATACACTATATTGCCAAAAGTATTTGCTCGTCTGCCTTCACATGCAAATGAATTTGAGTAACAACCGATTCTTAATCTATAGGGTTTAATATAAGGATAAGGATAATCACCTTTATTTGCCAAGTATGTTACACACAAGGAATTTGTTTTCACTACAGAACCAATGACAGCCATCTGAAGTGCCAACTCAACCAATGGCTCTAACCATTGGGCTAGTTTTCCATCACAGTTAGCATATCTCACTGACAACAAGTTATATTAACAATTGAGCTAACAACTATATTGCCAAAAGTATTCGCCCACCTGACTCCACATGCACATGAACTTGAGTAACAACCAATTCTTAATCCATAGGGTTTAATATGATGTTGGCCCACCCTTTGCAGCTATAACAGCTTCAACTTTTCTGGGAAGGCTGTCCATAAGGTTTAGGAGTGTGTTAATGGGAATTTTTGACCATTCTTCCAGAAGTGCATTTGTGAGGTCAGACACTGATGCTGGACGAGAAGGCCTGGATCGCAGTCTCCGCTCTAATTTATCCCAAAGGTGTTCTATGGGGTTGAGGTCAGGACTCTGTGCAGGCCAATCAAGTTCTTCCACACCAGACGCACTCATCCATGTCTTTACAGACCTTGTTTTGTGCACTGGTACGCAGTCATGTTGGAACAGGAAGGGGCCATCCCCAAACTGTTCCCACAAAGTTGGGAGCATGAAATTGTCCAAAATGTCTTGATATGCTGAGGCATTAAGAGTTCCTTTCACTGGAACTAAGGGGCCCCAAGCCCAATTCCTGAAAAACAGCCCCACATCATAATCCCCCCTCCACCAAACTTTACACTTGGCACAATACAGTCAGACAAGTACCATTCTCCTGGCAACTGCCAAACCCAGACTTGTCCATGGGATCGCCAGATAAAGAAGCGTGTTTCATCACTCCAGAGAACACATCTCCACTGCTCTAGAGTTCAGTGGTGGTGTGCTTTACACCACTGCATCCGACACTTTCCATTGCACTTGGTGATGTAAGGCTTGGATGCAGCTGCTCGACCATGGAACCCCATGGAATGCCATAAAGCTCTCTATGCACTGTTCTTGAGCTAATCTGAAGGCCACATGAAGTTTGGAGGTCTGTAGCTATTTACTCTGCAGAAAGTTGGTGACCTCTGTGTACTATGCGTCCCAGCATCCACTGACCCCGCTCTGTGATTTTACATGACCTACCACTTCGTGGCTGAATTGCTGTCATTCCCAATCGCTTCCACTTTGTTATAATACCACTAACAGCTGACTGTGGAATATTTTTTTTAAACTTTAGGTCACGTTTAAGATGATAATTCACTGTTGCACCATTGTAGATAAGTCAGTAAACAAAGAAAGCATGCCATGGGCTCTTTAACAATAATTTAATACAACAATATTTTGTATTGGAGGAACATTAGGTTACTCATATTTCTGAAGGAAAAAACCTGTGAATTCTTTTGTCATTAATTAAGCTATTACAGAGAGGTAATGATATTACAAATGGCATGCTTATTTTATATTCCGAAGAAATGCCTGCAGTCATTTTACCTGTTGCTTAACAAATAAGGGTGAGTTGCACTGCTTCAGTCTGTTTCTACAAACGTCTTTTCACCACTAGGTGGTTTCGTGGTCACTTGAAGCTTCAACACATGGCCCATTTTGTCCTTGACTGGAAACCTTCGATGCTTCAATGATGTTTAAACTTTGCATCACTAGAAACCGTTATTCCATATCGCAGGGAATAACTCTTTCTTTTCTTTTGTCCACTGTTCCATTTATAATCCAGCAGGTGGCAGTAATGCGCCTACACGCTTGTTTGACAACTACATCTAAACCGGAGGAGGAAGAAGACGCATCCGTGTCGAAGAAGAACATTTTAGTGTTGTGCTTCCGTAGCTGTAATCTATGGACAAGAATGTAGATTGGAAACAGACGTCGTACTGTATTGTGTTGGATAAAAAGAGCCAGTCTAGATTCCTTTGTTACACACACAGAAAAAAACGGAATATTTTATATTTGGTAAGTCGTTTGACAACTACATCTAAACCGGAGGAGGAAGAAGACGCATCCGTGTCGAAGAAGAACATTTTAGTGTTGTGCTTCCGTAGCTGTAATCTATGGACAAGAACGTAGATTGGAACCAGACGTCGTACTGTATTGTGTTGGATAAAAAGAGCCAGTCTAGATTCCTTTGTTACACACACAGAAAAAACGGAATATTTTATATTTGGTAAGTCGAAGGTTGTGTTTAACCCCCCCCCTGTTAAAACTGTGTTTCTAGTAATGTTAGCGCTCCCACGGTGGTTATATTTAGGATAAGGTTAGAGATTAACGTTAGGTTAGGGGGAAAGATCTTGATGGGGGAACAGATGAGAAAAGAACGGCACACCGACGTTCTACAACACAAAAATAACGTTGTAGAAATTCAGATTCGGCTATAGTGTTCACCAGTGGGAAAATAAAGGGTAAAATTAATACCCAGATGAAGGTATCTAAATGTGCCGGATGACCCCCTCATGTAATCATGGAAACAACATCTTGCTTAATATTTAAATGTGGCTTGGATTACAGTTCCTTTCTTCAATAGAACACACGGACTAGGCCTTAGGTACAGGGATGTACACACATGCAATACAGGGTAATTAATCCAGTCAATGTCCTTCCAAGATTGACCCTTTTCTGAATGCATATTTTAATTTTAGATGGTGTCAGAAAGGTGTCCCCTCCACCCCCAAATTCTTTATTTTTTAGACTGTGTAATTAAAGAAGTTGTGCACACTGTGTGTGTTTGTGTCAGTTTGTCAACCTCCTGCAAGGATGTGACCAAGTGTGACTTAATGTAACTGTTTTTATCTTGTTTTGTTCATGTGCTGCAGTTTGACAAATGCTGCTGATGTTTGGAGCACAGGATATACTGAGGACACATTGACCCAGTTTGTGAGTTTCGCCTGCACACACACACCACTACACTCCCACTCTTCTACTCACTTTGTTTCTAATGTGACCTTGAATGTAACTATACCTGTTTGTTTAGAGACAGAGGTTTGCCTTGAAATCTACAGAGGATTATATTCTAAAACTGAGGTAAGATTACAGATTGCCCCCCTTTAAAACCACTCTGTGTACCATTAATTATTTCTAGGAAGGTACTAGGATTCTGTGGTGCCAGTGAAGGCAGCAGTAGGTACAAAGCAGTGAGTGACTATACAGATTATGGAAATGTGATTAGCTCAGGGGTTTTCAATCAATTGTGACCCAGGAGCCACTATTGTGACTAAAAAGCTACCTGAAGACCAATGTTGTGCACTGAACAGATTAAAGTCACCATGGCCTTTCTAAATTTTATATATATATGCATGAATTTGATGATTCATTATGACAACAACTATAATTAATAAAAGAAAATGTGTTTAATAAAATAACCTGTGATTCCTATAGGAAAACTGCATTATTGAATGCACAGTCAGGGACCACCTGCAAGGCCTTTGCGGACCATTGGTTGAAAACCCCCGCATTAGCTACTAAAGAGTGACTATTCCTCTGTCTTTTCCTCAGGTTAGCCTGTAGCAGTGGGGATGTGTCTGTTGTGGTGCATGACACCGGGGCAGAGCTCCATATGGGCTCAGGTCCAGGTAATCAGAGTGTGACCCTGTCCAAGCTGGAAGGCCCACAGGCCACAGAGGAACTGAAGGAGCTGCTGTTCAGGATGGCTGACAGTCTCATTCAGCTTGAAAGTAAACATGCTTTGTTCCTGTGACTCGTACCAGCTGTTTCACATAGGGTGCAGGATTTGATCTTATAGGAAGCTTACACAGAGATAAAACTGACATCAATGCCAATTATGTTTTGTCATTTCCCACAGGTTCCCCCTCAGGTAGTCTAGTGAAAAATCACCAAAGGGGTCCCACAGGTACGTTTTTAAAGCTGTATACCAAAGGGTGTAATTACCAACAGCACCGCACAGTGGATTAGCTGCAAAAGGACATCAGTTGCTTAGAATCCTTAGTTTATTATTCATTTATCAAAAGTAGAGGATTATATTCTAAAACTGAGGTAAGATTACAGATTCCCCCCCTTTAAAACCACTCTGTGTACCATTAATTATTTCTAGGAAGGTACTAGGATTCTGTGGTGCCAGTGAAGGCAGCAGTAGGTACAAAGCAGTGAGTGACTATACAGATTATGGAAATGTGATTAGCTCAGGGGTTTTCAATCAATTGTGACCCAGGAGCCACTATTGTGACTAAAAAGCTACCTGAAGACCAATGTTGTGCACTGAACAGATTAAAGTCACCATGGCCTTTCTAAATTTTATATATATATGCATGAATTTGATGATTCATTATGACAACAACTATAATTAATAAAAGAAAATGTGTTTAATAAAATAACCTGTGATTCCTATAGGAAAACTGCATTATTGAATGCACAGTCAGGGACCACCTGCAAGGCCTTTGCGGACCATTGGTTGAAAACCCCCGCATTAGCTACTAAAGAGTGACTATTCCTCTGTCTTTTCCTCAGGTTAGCCTGTAGCAGTGGGGATGTGTCTGTTGTGGTGCATGACACCGGGGCAGAGCTCCATATGGGCTCAGGTCCAGGTAATCAGAGTGTGACCCTGTCCAAGCTGGAAGGCCCACAGGCCACAGAGGAACTGAAGGAGCTGCTGTTCAGGATGGCTGACAGTCTCATTCAGCTTGAAAGTAAACATGCTTTGTTCCTGTGACTCGTACCAGCTGTTTCACATAGGGTGCAGGATTTGATCTTATAGGAAGCTTACACAGAGATAAAACTGACATCAATGCCAATTATGTTTTGTCATTTCCCACAGGTTCCCCCTCAGGTAGTCTAGTGAAAAATCACCAAAGGCGTCCCACAGGTACGTTTTTAAAGCTGTATACCAAAGGGTGTAATTACCACTCAGGTTTGGGGGATCAGAGTCTAGCATCGTTCCCCACCACTTTCATAGTTTCAGTTTGATTTACTTAAAAAAAAAATCTCTCTAAGCAATGTCCTCTGATAGTCCGGCTGCCAAAAGAGTGGAGTTTATAAAACTGTTGGTATGCTCATCTGGGCTGTCTTCAGTGATAACTGTATAGTGTGTTTTGTTGATATTGTTTGCTCCCGTATTTTGGCTTTCAGGCTACATATAGGTTGGCTGTCACCACCATTGAGGACACAGAGTTTATGTCATTAGCATTATGTCTTGAAATATGGAGATTTTCTTACAGGTGCGAGCACTGTAAACACTCGCTTTGGTACATTTCTCAAATCATCCTTGATATTTGCAAAACAATGAGCATTTCTCAAAACATTTTGTACCAACAGCACCGCACAGTGGATTAGCTGCAAAAGGACATCAGTTGCTTAGAATCCTTAGTTTATTATTCATTTATCAAAAGTAAATTCACATAGTGGAGTTGGATATGTCATTACGCTTGGTGAGGTAGTGAGGGGTTATAACATACTAAAACACAGTTTATATTCAGGCCTGTTTACATTGCTTGGTGGAGAATGTCCTGCTATTATTCAGGTCCCCCAAGAGAACACTGTTGATGAGATGCTCTTACAAAAATACCTTGTGGAACATTTCTGTATTATTGTGCATGTCTAGTAAGGAGTTATTGCACATATATTCTCACATTTTCATATTTGCCATCAGTGTTACTGCAGCAGGGAAAAAGCTGTTGTAAAGTCTGGTTCTGTGTGTGATGATACTGTCCATCCTACTGTGCCTGAGGCTGTAGGTGCAGTTTTTGTGTCTGAGCAGAGGGAGCTGGGTGGTGTGGATCTCTGAGTATGTTTTCCGCCCTTTTACGACAGCGCTGTGTGTATAGTGTGTCCATAGCAGGCAGTTCAGTCCCAATGATCCCCTCTGCAGTCTTTATGACCCTTTGAAGAGCCTTCCTCTCTGCCTGTGTGGTGTTACCATACCAGACTGTGATGCCAGTACTGAGGATGCTCTCTACCAGTCCTCTATAAGCCTGGGTGAGAGGGTAATCATTCAACCCAGCTTTTCTGAGCTGCCTGATGAAGTATAGCCGCTGGTGGGCTTTCTTCACTGTGGCAGCCGTGTTCAGTGACCAGCTCAGGTCAGATGTCACCTGCAGGCCCAGGAACTTGTGGCTCTCGGCCCTCTCCTCCTCAGTCCCTTTGATAGTCAGAGGCAGCAGAGGGGAGGGGTTCTTCCTGAAGTCTACTATTATTTCTTTTGTCTTGTTTATATTGAGGATGAGGCCATTCTCCTCTCCATAAACAAGAACATTGTTCACCAAGCTTCTGGAATCCGACTCGTCTCCCCCCATGATGAGGCCCAGAATGGTGCTGTCATCAAGATATTTAATGATGATGGTGTTGTCATGGTTGGTGACACAGTCGTGGGTGTACATGGTGAAGAGTTCGGGGCTGAGACAGCAGCCCTGTGGTGAGCCTGTGCTGATTGTAAGCTCAGCAGACACCTGCCTTTCCATTCTTACCACCTGTGGTCTTTCAGTCAGGAAGTCCAGAATCCAGTTACAAGTGGGATTCGGGACACCAAGGTCTGTCATCTTCTCAATCAGCCTGCCCAGGTGAATGGTGTTGAATGCAGAACTGTAGTCCAGGAAGAGCATCCTACCATACTGTATGTTCTGCTGCTGTCCTGGTGTTTCAGGGTATGGAATAAAGCCAGAGCCGTCGCGTCGTCCACTGATCTGTTGGGGTGGTAGGCAAACTGGAGGGGGTCTACAGTGTCCGGGACCATGTGGTTAACATGTGTGAGGACCAGTTTCTCTAAGCACTTCATGGTGACTGATGTGAGCGCCACTGGCCTGAAGTCATTCAGGGTGGATGTGTCTGATGTCTTAGGGACCGGTATGATAATAGATTTTTTGAAAATGCGAGGGACTACTGCTTGGGTTAAAGACAGGTTGAAGATGCCTGTATACACACTAGCTAGTTGATCCCCACAGGCTCTCAACACTCTAGGGGAGACGCCGTCTGGTGCCGCCACCTTATGGGGGTTTACTTATCTCAGGGCCTTTAGGACCTGTGTGCATCACCTGAAAAGCAGTGTCCCCCAGGTCGCAGGGGGATTTTAAGGGGGTATCTGTGTTCAACCTGCCAAACCTCGCATAGAAGTTGTTGAGGCTGTCCAGGAGGGTGGCGTCCTCGGGGGCTGTGTTTGTTGATTTCTTCCTGTAGTTTGTGACTGCCGTTCCTCCTCCGCGGGTCTTGCCGCTTTCAGTGGCGCTGCGATCCTGTCTGAACACAGTAACCATCCAGAATTATACCCTCATCGGGAGTCTCTTTTCCCAGCCATGTTTCACAAAAACACAGCAGGGAGCAGTCCTGTATGTCCTTCTGTGAGGTAATCCGAGCGTGGAGTTCATTCAGTTTATTATCCCGAGACTGGACAGTATAGCAGGGAGGGCTAGCCTGCCGCTGCTAACCAAGCTCCAGAGCCTCCGTTTGAC